ACCAGGCTCTGGCCTAGCTGTTTATAAGGGCCCAGCCCTGCCCCCTTCCGGTCACATGGCCGACCTGGTTACTCCCACAACCCACAGCTGAGCTGCCCTGATGATTGGCAGCTCCTCCAATCCTTACTCAGGAACGGGGCACCCAAGTGTCCCCGTGACATAAGGGTATGAAGCACAGCAGTCAGCTAAGAGAGATGCACTTGCCAAACAGGTTTTTCATAGATTTCAGAGATGTTAGGGCTGGAAGAGACCTGGGAGGATCATTGAGTCCAGCCCCCTGCCCCAGGGGCAGGAAGTCATCTGGGATCACAGGATCCCAGCAAGAAAACTGTATATAGCTTGACTTATATTGCAAAACTAAAGACTACTGTATATAGCTCAACTCAGCCTCTGAACTCAGATGCTCAAGCACCTTTGTATGCTAACACAGAAAACACCTTTATCATCCTATTTGCAACTATTAAAATAGATCCCTCACCTTATAGAATGGGTTAACCTAAAACAACCTGCAAGGGTATGGCATCAGCTAAGAGGAATCCGGGTGGAAAAGTCCAGACCCACTTGAAAGAAACGTTGGGGGAAAAGAGAAGAATCCATTTGACTCTGGGCTGGTGGCACATCACATCTCTGCTTCCTTTATGCCATCTCCCAGGCTTCCTTTGCTAACCTGGGCCCATCATCATGGAGAAACAAGGCCTAAATAAAGTGGGGACCTCAGGTCCCACTCTTCATTCTGCTCCCCTAAGAATTCTGGTGCCAAAAGAGAAAAGGCCGGCCCTGATTTCCTGCTAGCATCTCAGACCGTCTGACTTGCCACACACAGTGCATGGCAGAAGCAACTTGGCATCACACAAACTTGCGTCCCCTCGAATTTGCAGTGGAGTAAGTTCAGAACTAGGCTGTAAGAGAGGAAGAAGACTGAGTCTCCCTATGTGCAGCCCCAGCATTGGGTGCATTGAGGGTACCAATGGGCAACACATGGTTATTGAGCACAGAGGCTTTGCATGCCCTGAGCCTTTTTATAATGAGCTTGGAATACAAGCAACAAGACCATCCAGAAAGCCTGCAGCATACCCTGGCATTCAAAGTGGATGAAATGCTTCATGATTTTAGCTGCCATCAAGTGGTCATGGCACATTGATAGCTATCATCAATAGGAAGAAGAGCCAGATGAAACCCCCCCCACCAGAAATGAGAGTGGGGGTGGACTGAAAGAGACCCCCATGTATACCCCAGACTCTAGTAAAGACTGCTAATGCTATGGGAAGCTTTTCACCCTGGAGAAATGCAGACCACAGGCTAAAGCTAATGCTTATACATGCTGTAACATGGCAGTTCTCAACACTTTGGGACTTCACACCTCCTCTCAGAAGATGTTTTCCCTCATTTATTGTCTATAGAAAACTATGTGAGCATTTCTTCTCTTGCAAAAAACTTAGACCACAACCGGGCAGAAATGTTTTTGAATGATGGATTCCTGTTTGAAATGTGGTGGGTCAGGAGGCTATGGTAAATACAGTAAATGAATACACATGGTCAATAAGAAAAATATTAAGTAATAAACATGGTAAATAATAAGTGGATAAAATATGGTAAGTAAATATTGTAAATGAATAAATGTGATAAATGATAAATATGGTAAATAATAAAAGTAAAAGGTGGATAAATATGGTAAATCAATATGGTAAATGCGATAAATGATAAATATAGTAAATGATAAAAGCAATAAGTGAATAAATATGGTAAGTAAATATTGTACATGAATCAATATGATAAATAATAAATATGGTACATAATAAAAAAGAATAAGTGGATAAATATGCTAAATAAATATGGTCAATGAATAAATATGGTAAATGAGCATCAGGGCCCCCCACCAAAGCCTTCTTTCAGTGTTTCTCTTTCTTTCCCCCCCGATAGGTTATCCATTTTTTGGGAACATCACCATTACCAGAGGCTGTTCTTCAAGGTGCGTGCCATCCTCTCCCTGGGGAATTGGAGAAAAGCACCCCGTTTCCTGCTGCTACACTGACCTCTGCAACTCCAACCCTAATGGGGTTGTGGGGCTGAAAGCCAACCACGCCACGCTGGGGATTACAGCTGCTGTCCTCTGCATCCTCGTCAAGGCCTCCCTGTAATGCGGTCTCCCAGTGCTCAGACAGGAACCTGCCGGACTGAGCAGCTCCGGCGCGTGGAATATTTAGGCACCCGTGGGAATAAGCTGCTTTTGTTAACCACGGTTTGATCTGTGGCACTGAACCTGAAAGGACCTGGGAGGACCCAGATGCTGAACCCTGCAGCAATATTTTGCTAGGCCGGACACGGGTGGGCTGCATCCTACCACTTCGGCCCTGCAGGTATGGGAGCTCAGGGAGGGCCAGGCTATCTGGGGGTGTGGGGGAGGAGGGTTGTTCTCTCTGCTGCTCTGCTTTGGGGCTGTAGCAGGAACAGGGGGAAAAAAATGACTTCACCTTACCGGCCAATGAGTCCGGGAAGGGGCATGATGGCCGGTTGGTGCATGGGGAATCTGAGCCTCTTTGCTCCCAGCTCTCATGGACGCCCAGCTGATTTGTGCACTCAACTCCGTCTGCACCACTTTCATTGCTCGTTCCCAGCTCCAAAGCACTGCCACCCCCAGACTTGATGTCCCAGAAACAGATTTGCTGCTTGATCCCACCCCGAATCAGTGGAGGCTGCTCCTTGTCTCTCGGGAATTTGCTCAGCGAACCCTTTGGTCCAAACATCAGGAGACCTGGCTTCCAGCCCTACTCAAAACAAGTGTGGAGGCTCCACCAAGACAGCCCGTGGGTCAGCAGGAAGTTAACTGGTAACCAGAAGCATCCCGACTCATTGCGAGCCCTGGAGAAGGACTCCCAACAGGTAGAGCAAGGTCTCCATGCGGCAATACCAGGGCTCCTCCATTTCCTACTCATAAGCCACCTCTTCCTAAGGAAGCCTGACAGTTCAAGGGGCCAAAGGGGAAGCATGTCCCTGCTCTCAAAGAACACACACCCGAAGGACAGCGGGCAGGTATTTCCTGCCCCATCATGAAGAAGAGCTGAACTTCCCCCTTTGCATTGTTGCAATAAGCAAAGCCCTTCCATGTGGTCCCCCAAGAAGGGTAAGCTGGCAGCAGGAGGGAGCTTAGAGGCTCTTGTTGCCCCTGGCAGGGCTGTGAGTATCCGGCAAATAAAGTCATGTCCAGTGGTTCCACACAAATAAAGTCACGTCCACCAGTGTTTCTTTCCACATAGCCCCCATTTACCCCTGGGGATAATCAATGCCTTGGAGTTGCCAGTGATGTCCGTAGCACAAGGGCTGGAAGAAAAGGTCCCTCCTCCTATCAGTACCAGCTTCAATCTAAGCAGAAATGGGGCTCTGGAGATTGGCAGGGCATTTCAGCAGGGTCCCAGCCCTCTAAGCAGCCCCCTGTTGCGGGGGATCCCCCTCTACCTTTGCATGCCCTTAAATGCCCCCACTTCCAGGAGGCAGAGATGGTGAGAGGAAGGTTGCCTTATTCCAGCACCCACCAGATGCCAAATAGCCAGGGGTCATGATAGTTGTGGGACTGGTGCAGGTGGGAACACCACAAGCTGAGATCATGGGATTATAGGAAAATGGTGCTGGAAGGGACCTCATGAGGTCATATCTCATCCAACACCCTGCTCAGGACAGAACTATCCCAGCCCAGTGTCTGTCCAAACTGCTCTTGAAAGCTTCCAAGGATGGAGATTCCCCGGTTCTCTGGACAACCTGCATGGGTGGATGCAGGGGGTGCGGTGGTACAGTTGCAACCCCTTTGATTGCTGCTCCATCCAAACTTTAAAACCAACTGCCTGGGAGAGGCAGTGGCATTTCTATTCAGGCAGGGCTGAGACAGTCAATGGACTCCTTGGCTCATTGTCATCTCCTGGAATCCTGCTAATCTCTCTCCACTCCATACCTTCAGTCCTTTCTAATGGCTCTTGATGTCCCACTATTCAAACTATCCTTTCTTCTGGAGTTTTGTCCATTAGCTGTTCCAGATAATGTCTCTTTTCTACTTCAGAGCCCCACAAACTGTTTTTATCTCTAGATAAAAGCCTTAACTCCAGTGTAGTAATACTAACTCAGATGCATAAATGACTGACTGATGTATTGGAGGCACTGTCCAGATGTTCAATAAGGCTTGATTTTGCTTTATGAAACTGAATGAGAGCTGTGCATTTAATTATAATGACTACAGGACTAATGGCACTATATGACAGCAGAAGAATCACTGCCTTTGATTTGAAGACTTGATTTAAAGTATTTGCAAACTGCTGTTGTATCTCCCTTCATCTCCTTCACCCTGAGATAAACTGACTGTGTAGAGGGACCTCCAGGTGCAGCCAGTCCAACCCCTGCACATGTCTGTGCTAAACCAGTGTGGTTGCAAGCAGCAAGCCCTGGGGATGTGGAGGTGAATCATAATCATAGAGAAATGGGGCTAGAAGGGACCTCCAGAGGTCACATCTAGTCCAACCCCCTACCCGAAGCAGGATCAGCCCGAACCAAACCATCCCAGACAAACCCATCATCTAAACTCTTACTAAAACTACTGACACCCCTGGCACACCACCAGACACCCAAACCTGCCACAGATAAAGCAGGGGAACCCCAGCAGCCACTGTGCTGCTTCTATGAAAGGTTGTCAGTTGACACTCAGGAGACCCCAGTCAAGCTCAGAGCAGGCAGAGCTGTATTGCAATCCCCAGACCAGGCTGGGCCACCACTTGCATGCTGCACGTGTTGCTTCGCTTCGAGGTGTGCACACAGCTGTTGGTCTGGGACCTGCATGCCTTCTACCTGGAGCAGTGCTTCGTCCACACACACAACAGCTTTGTCAGTGCCCTGCTGCTCTTCTCCCAGCACGTGCTGGGCACCACGTCTGCCCACCTCATGCAGCACCTGTGAAGGTGCCAAGGATGGCCCACGGAGAAGCTCCTCCCTGCCAGGTAGTGCTGGACATTACGGCTGTGCAAAACAGCACTGTTTCATTTTGACTTCCATTTCACCCTTCCCAGGGAACAATGTTTCATTTTGCTGTTTTGAACCACTGTTCCGTTTCGTTTCATCAAAACTGTTTCTCTGTTTCAACGCATTTCAACGTTTTGCCCATAGGCTATAATGGGGACTCATGAAAATGCCTATAACCTTGTCATTTCTTGCCTGATTCAGCTAAAAAAAAATGCAGGGATGGTAGTCCCTTCTGAGGGCATGATGTCTGCCAAGTTTCAAGGAGATAGGAGCAGGGGTGTCTGGGAAACTGTACCTCAAACTGTTCAAAGCAAAACATTTATCACTTGCCGGCAACGGCAGTCTCCTGTCATCCCGCATGCAGATCCAGGGACCTGCACCCCCCAGGAAGAGCTGGAGAAATAATCAGAGAGCTGGGGAATCAAACATGGAGCTATATTCAATATGAGAGCAGTCCTTTTCCCCTCCTCGCCCCCCTTAGTTACTGTTTAGCTACAAGCAACCCTGGCTTTGAAACTCAAAATGTTTCAAAATGAGAGCCCTCATTTTGTTTCAAAGCTGTTTTGAAGCCTTTTGTTTCATTTCAATTTCACTGTTTCAAGCTCAAGACACATCAAAACAGCTTTGAAATGAAACAGCTGGTGAAATTTTGCACAGCCCTACTGGGTATGTTGGGCGGGGGGGGGGTATGGGCGTGGTTGTGGCAAGGAAAGGGTTGGGCTTGCTAATTTGGCATGAGGGTGGAGGGATCCCTCTCCTGAGGACTACTGGGGGTGGTGGGGGAAGAAGGCAGGGAGCTGGAGTGGGCCTGGGGGACTGCCAGCAACACCAGGGATAGTGGGGATGGAGAGTGGAGAAGGGGGCTGGAAGGAACAAGTGGAGGTTGTGTTAAGTGCAACCCCTAGCCCAAGGCAGGATCAGGCTGAGCTGAATCATCCCAGACAGCCCGAAGTTTGTGTTCTATGCCAGACCCCTGCCTGAGGCAGTATCATTCCTGTCAAAACCATCCTATGCCATCCAGACCTTGTATCCTTCTAGTCCAACCTGCTGCCTGAGGCAGGATCAGCCCTATCCAAACTCTCCCATGCACTCCACAATCTCAACCCTACGTAAAATGACCCTCGACCATGACATGACACAAGACATTGCACCCAAACAATGTGCATCCGATAGGCCTCTAGTCCAAGCCGGCGCAACAGATCCAGCTGGTGCCTTCTATGGACACCTGCAATGCAAGCTGAGGGAGACCCTGGCACACAGCAACCTTGAGGACATCCCCTTCATTCCCTCCCCGGGAGCCTCCTGCTCAGGTACTGGCAGCACTTATCCCTGCACCTTTTCATCCATGCATTCTCCCTTCGTGGCTGCACTAAGTCCTAGGACCTCCTGGTCAACCTTCTCCTGGCCCTAGGCAAGCCAGATCTACCTGACCAGGAAGGAAACCTTGACCAGAAGGCCTATTTTTTTCCTGGTGGGCTCAGGGCCACCATACCATGGCACAACAAATAGACCTGCAGAGATATGCCTGTCCCGGGCAGATACCCTTGCCCCTTGGGTGTCCTTGCTCTACATGCACTAACATAGTGATTCTCAACCAGGGCCTGGGGGGTGGCCAAGCACTGGAACAGAGAAGTCGTGGACTCTCTGTGCTTGGGAGTTTCCAGGGGCAGACTGGACAGACACTTGACTGGTTTGGTTTAGTCAGGGGCAAACTTCCCTTGAGCATCTTGCCTTGCCTAGACATGACCTCATGAGGTCCCTTCCAGCCCTACTTTTTTTGTAGTTCCCTAGACATGCTCAATTGGTTAGAAAAGGCCTGATTCAAAAATAAATCCTTGATCTACAAGAATCACCCTTGTGCCATGTGGACTTTGCAGGATTTGGTCTGTGAGGGAGCTGCACAGCGATCGCTGGGGGTGCAGGGATGCACTTTGTTATTCTCAGGGATGGTTAGGGATTATCAGGCCTGATGTTCTCCCCAGACTTGAAGGTGCCTGAGTGGTGGTAGGGAGATAAAGCCTTGTCATATAACCTTCTTCCCCACCCCTGCCCCTAGCCCAGCTGGGGAGACTCAAGAGGTGGGAAGAGGGTGGCAAGCAGGTCTTTTTGAATTTGCTGAGTTCTCCAAATTTCCTTCTGGCCTACACCCCTTATTTTGAGATGCCTAGTTCTCATATCCTAATAAATGACCTGGGATTGGTTTTGTTTACATGTCTTTGTTTCGCTCAAACTTGGGAGACTGGACTGACCCAGAGCTCTTGTGGACTTGGAAGGCATCAATTAGTTGGGATTTATATCCTTGGAAAAGTAAAAGGGAGGGTTTCTTATCTCCTTTCCTGCCCCACTGTGGAGTGCTGTTCAACATGGGCCTGTTTCTTCTTTGCTTTAGTTTATGGTCTTCTCTGACATGGCTGTGCTGTTTTTACAAATGATCTAAGTGCCTTAACAAAAATATATCAATTATAGCAAAATAACATCTCATACATTTGGTGACATCAATCACTAATAGTCTAAGATAAAGCTATGATGTAGTATATTTGGATCATTTAGTGTATGGCCTTCCCTTATAATGCCTTCTTTCAGGCCTTGTGTTTTGTCTAATTGTATCGTGTGCCTGGTTTACTCAGATACGTGGATGGCTTCCTTTACTTTGCTGGCCAAGCTAGTGGTCACATCTGCAAAGATTCACACGGTGGTCACTCAGAAACAAGCTTTGGGGCCTTCTGCTTAGCCACACTCCTGCAACTTGGTCTAGGCCCCCTGAAAATGGCCAAGGCTGGCATCATGCCCTGCTTGGCAGCTGGTACCCGAGTACCAGGGAGGTCTCTCCCCTTCTGGCTCCAGATTCACCTGTTGTGACCGTGAACCAAAGCTGCCCTGTGGGTACTGTTCTCCCTGAGCAGGGCTAGGACTTGGGCACGTGATCAGGATATGCATGAGAGTGAGGACACCCCTTTCTCCAGGCCTCAGGCTAGACCAGAAAGGCACGGGAAGGATGTTCATTTTGGGGAGGTGTTCTGGCCTCCAGACCTGCAGCCATGCTGATTAAAGAAACCAGCCTAAAACATTCATACCCCTGCCTTTTATCCCTTTAAAAACCTGCATCTAGAAAAAACAGGTAATTTCCAAGTGATGGATCCACCTGATGCCAACACTCACAGGGAAGGGAATGGATTTTGAGTGCAAATCCTTCTGAATTGGTCCAGTGCAGGCAGGGCCATGTTGGCTGGGACAGAGGGTGTTTTATCAGTGGGTCCCTTTATGAGACGAGGGGAGGTATTTTGGTACAGCCATGTTTCAAGCTGTAGTAACCAGGCATTGGCTTTCCCCACAATGCAGCTCCCTGTTTGCCCATCTGTACCAGCTGCTCCTCCAAACTATGCTTGTCTTGGTGCATGCTGGGAAAATCTGTGGAGCTTCCCCATTGTGCTTCAGGAGCATCACAGTGGTCCATGGGGTGGCCTCTTCTGGGGTTCAAAGCACAGCAAACCCAGCTAATAGCTCTTGCAAGAAACCAAATGTTCTGGTCTAGGGAATCAGTCTTGGTAAGCCTCTGCAGGTAACAGCAGGCAGACAGCCATGTTTTGTATGGACACAAGCCACTTACGCCTCTGAATCTTTTCTTTCCCATCAGCCAAAGGATGAAAGATATCACAAGCACAACAGCAGTGTGTTGCATAAACCCTCTATGCACTGTTAGCGGTAAGAGAGGAATCTAGGAGTTATCAGACTGGATGAAACCTCATCTAGGTGCCTCTGTAACAGTTGCTCCTGGGTGCTGGTGGAGATAGGCAAATGCCAGAAACCCACACCAGGCACTGAGGGGAAATCCTCTGACAGTCTCCAGTAGGTAAAGGTCTGGGCTGTGGCCTGCGCGGGCTAGTGTCCCCAGAAAGCTCCTCTGGGATGTTTTCAATGCAGTTACTCTTCTCGCTCTGGACATCCTCCTTCTGAAGGCTTGCCAGTGCTCTATTGAGGCAAGTCATTCCCCCAGCCCATTGGAAATGGAGAGCTGGTCTGCACTGGGCAGTAGCCTGGTGCCAGGTCAGGGATGGGCGAGGAGGACAGATCCACACAGCAGCTCCAGCCTCCAGTGCCCTGAACTGGGAGGTATCCTGGGTGTTGAGGGGTTAATAATCCCAGCTCAGGCAGGGGATCCACATGTTGTGTCTGCCTTAGAGCAGGGGATGTCTTTGTAGCACAGGGCATGGTCCTCCTTGTAGGACCCTCTCAACATGTCTTAACCAGCTGCTTTCTTGTCCTTGCATTGTCAGTACCCTCCCTGGGACATGCTGTGGAGTTGTGCTGGTGTTTCAGGCCCCATGCCTCGCAGATATGGGTGAGGGTTTGGAGTGGTGACCTTGGAGAGTCCTTGGGTAGATGCAAAGGCAGGGGACTGGCCTTAGCGAAACGGCAATTTTCAGTGCCATTTCGTAACGTGCATCTAAACAATGCGTGTCGTGTACAAGCGCCCAGTGGCTTCAGGACACCACTTCCAGCCCTGTGTGAAAGAAGGAAAAAATCATTAGGAGGTGCCTATAGGGAATAATCCTGCCTGCAGGGAAAAATGGGCTGGAGATGCCTCCCAGGTCTTTCCCAGCCTCAGCTTGTCAGAGCTGGTGGGATCTCTGAGGGACTGGTTTCAGTGTA